AAGTTGGCTTCTTTTTCTTTTTTTTTTAAATATTTATTTATTTATTATGTATACAATATTCTGTCTGTGTGTATGTCTGCAGGCCAGAAGAGGGCACCAGACCTCATTCCAGATGGTTGTGAGCCACCATGTGGTTGCCGGGAATTGAACTCAGGACCTTTGGAAGAGCAGACAATGCTCTTAACCACTGAGCCATCTCTCCAGCCCCCTGAAAGTTGGCTTCTAATGTCCACATATGTGCTATAACCTCTTCTACTCCCTTCCCTTCCCTCCTTTCCCCTCCTCTCTCCTCTCCTCTCCTCTCCTCTCCTCTCCTCTCCTCTCCTCTCCTCTTCTCTTCTCTCTCTCTCTCTCTCTCTCTCTCTCTCTCTCTCTCTCTCTCTCTCAATGTAATAGGAAGATTGAGAATTTGAAAAATAAAATAAGCAAGCAAACAAACAACCCCATGACATTATGTTGCAGATGGGAAGATTCAGGATCAGTTAGAGCAGCGCACTGTAGCTGAAAGTCTTCCTTATCTACAGACGCACCGTTTATAGGATGGGCCTGTCACTGAGACATGCTGGCACTGAAAACCAGGTCTCACATATGTGCCCTCGCTGACTTCATCCTCATAAATCGGAAAAACTGAGGATCAGTGAAGGCAAGTTGTGACCTGAGGCCACACAGCTGGTCCTCTTCTGCGAAGTGGGGCTGGGACTCATACACAGATTCTCACAGGGTTTTATTCATGAACAGATGTGTATGACTTGATGTTCCCCACACGATAGTCCAAAGTGGGCCCCTCAGCCTGTGTTCCCTTCCTGTCTGTCTGGGCCTGGGCAGCTGGGGAGTGTCGTGCCCCACCCCAGACAAGTACCTGCTAGCAGCCTTCCAGAAGAGAGCGGAGCGGGACCAGCAAGCTGAGAGTCGAGCGTAGACCTGCTTCCTGTTCCAATGGGGCATGGCTGGACTTCCTCCAGAGATGCCAGTGGGCTCCAACCTCACCCCAGCCCTGGCTTTGGTTCATTGAGAACTAAGCACTCACCAGGTTGTACACAGGCACCAGGCACTGTGGTCAGTGTGTTCATGTTCACAATTTTTCTTCATTTTTGTAAAACCCAGTGGGCAAGAAGCTCTTAACAGCCCATCTTCCAGACAAGGAGAGCAAGGTTCCCAGAGGTCAAGTAAAAGACTCCAAGCAATACAATTGACTGAGGGGTGGTGCTGGGACTGGGGCCCTAAGAAGACACAGCATCACTTTCTGATAGCCCAGATGGAGGAAAGTCCCTGGCTGTCATCCTCTCTCTGTGACTTTGGGTAAATCCCTTTCTTCCTGTGGGACTTTATTTTCCTTCCTCTCCTTTAGACGTACCTATTTTTAATTATATGTATACATGCGTGTCTGCATATGGGTTTGTGCTCATGAGTTCAGGTGCCAGTGGAGGCCAGAAAAGTGTGTTGGGTCACCTATAGCCAGAGTCACGAGTGGTTGTGAGCCACTGACTGTGAGATCTAGGAAGCAAACCCTGGTCCTCTAGAATTCTGACAAGCGCGCTTTTAACGTCTGAGCCATCTCTCCAGCTCCTGAAAAGAGGGGACCATCTTTAAAGATCAGTTTCATTTTCTTCTCCCATGACTTTCCCTGGGCCCAGAACCTTTCATTTTCAGCGAGTGACAATGGAGCTGGGTGTGAACCCGGTGCTGATTCCTGTGCGCCTAGGGGATCTCATTGCAAATAAGGGCTCAAGCGCAGAGTCCTTGTCTTTGGGGAGTCCAGCATCCAGTGGATGGGGACAGTCACTGAACAAACAGAGCAATGAGAAAGACTCTGAAGCGACAAGAGTGGCATTGGGTGGGTGTTTCAAACAGGGGTCAGGAGGCAACATGAGGTGAAAAGCAGGTGTCAAGAAGGAGCAGACTTTGCAAGAGGCTTATGGAGAGGAAGTCGCAAAATCAAAGGTCTTGGGGCAGCTCCCTTTTAAAGCATTTGCAGAGGGAAAAGGCAGCTTCAGGACAGCAGTAGCTGAGGGGGTGGTGGGATGGCATCACCAGGTGGTTCCAGGACATTTTATGCCATCCTAAGGTGATTATATCATAATCTAAGATTTATGAAAAAATTAGAAAAAAATCTAACTGGTAATCAGTCAATGGGAAGATATGAATTGCTGTGCCTTTTTTTTTTTTTTTTTTTTTTTTTTTTTTTTTTTTTTTTTTTTTTTTGTTTTTTTTACAAGAAGTCTCATGTAGTGCTCCTGGGTATGGGAGGCTCGAAGGGTGAGGCAGGGAGACCTGGGTGCCTCTACACCCTGCGAGCATGCTCACCTGTTGGGACCAGGTCCCAGGAAACAGCCCTGTAGGCGCAGTGCCCCCCCTCCACAAGCTGCCTGTCCACTGTGGTTCCCGGTGGGTCCTATAATTTGCATGTGGGCACATGCATCAAGCTGCCACCCCAGGAAGCATCTCTCTGCCTCTCATCCTCAAGGGAGACCCCGTGGCCACCTCATCCCTACAGTGTATCTTAACGGGTTGACTTGGCGCCTATGCCGGCTGAGCCTGCTCTTGTTGGGACCTGCCCATTGCTGGTGCTGACCCAGGGGAACAGGAAGCGCCCTGCACAGCGGGGCAAGCAGAGCTGCCAGAGCGCGCTGCAAGCACCTGGCTCCCTGAGCTGAGGATTCAATACTGGGCAGTAAGGGCTCTTCTGGCATTTCAGCTCCAGAGATCACGCCATCCTGTGAGAGCTGGGGCCTGAATGATTGGGGTCGCCTCTTGCTAGCGGGGCTGGAGCCGGTAGTCCTGTATGGCTTCTGCTTGGGGCTGCAGGACAGAATAAGGTAAGAACATGGGCTGGGAGGATGAGGAACACTGGTCTGGGGACCCCCCCCCAAGTGTGGGTGGCTGCCTCCGTCCTGTATCCTTTTGCTGAGGTGCTCGGACTCTAGGCACCCCAAGAAGGTCTTAAGCGACAGACTGAAGTGGTGAGGCTCAAAGGGTGGGCTAGATTCTGCCCCTCTTTTGCCCCGCACTTCCAGAATCCAGGTAAAGTGGGCTTTTCCATTCCCGCCTCCCACCTCAAAACATTTCCTGCAGGCTGTCAGGGAACTCTGTGCCCTGTTCACTGGGGACTCTGAGAAGAGGTGGCGCCCGCCCGCCTTTCCCCCTTGCCCTGGAAGTTTAACTATTCGGTGCCTTTGAAGAACGAGATAACCAGAAAAACGAGTCTGTCCCGTCTAACCCAGGAATGCTCCACACATGGCCTGCAGCCAGGGTGTTCCTGGGAATGGGGTTCCCAGGGGCAGACCCGGCTTCAGCCCTCTCCCTGGGCTCCCAAACTGGCGCCTACCCCTGGATCTTTGGTGCAGGTTCAGCTCTATGGGACACCGGCAAGGCAGTGGAGAGGACAGAGAAATCAGGAGGTTAGTTCAAGGTGAACCAGTTTCTTGGACTAGTTCAGACCTGGCCACCCACCATCCCCAGAATGGGACTCTGCCATGTGAGGCGGGCAAGCGCCATCTGCAGAATGGGACTCTGCCCGTTTGCATCTGATGACAGAGTCCCTTTGATGTTCCGGTCTGGCTGTGACATTCCCAAAATCTAGGAGCTGCCTATCTGGAGTTTAGCTCTGTCGGCAATGGGTAGGGATGGGCTAGCTGTCCCTATGCCTGGGCCAGAGGAAACAGTCCAATCTGTGACTACAGAAGCTCCATTCTAATTCCCACGTTCTCCTGATAGGTGCAAGATCCTGGACTCACCCTTCCCATTAATAATGGCTAATCTTGTTAAAACTTCCTACAGACTGAATCGCTGCTAGATCAGTCACCTTCATTTTCCCCACAACGCGCAACATGGCTATGAGATAGAACCACCCACACACTGTTTTTGAAAGCTAAGGTCTCCAGTTGCCCAGGCTGGCCTCAAACTCACTATGTAAACAAGGATGACCTTGAACTTCCGATCCTCCTGCTGGTGTCTGTCGCACCCCCTCAGTCCTGGGATTATAGGCATGCACCACCCCACAGCTAGGTGACAGTAAATAATTCCAGTGTTTCATGTCCATAATGCAAGCAGTATCCTTGATGTAACCCTGTTTTCAATCCTAAATAATGCACTAACATGTTTTGGTTTTAGTTATATGTGTATGTATGTATGTATGGGTTTCTGCAAGTGAGTAAGGGTGCCTGCAGAGGCCAGAAGAAGGTGTCTGATTCCCTGGAGCTGGAGATAGAAGCAATTGTGAACTGCTTATTGTGGGCGCTGGGAGCCAAACTCTGGTCCCCTGGAAGAACAGTATGTACTCTTGACCACTGAGCCATCTTCTCTAGCCACATCTAGATGACTATCTTTATCCTATGTTGTGGAATAAGGAATCAAGGTTCCCCCGAGGTCAGGGACTAGCTGGAGGACTACCCACTGAGCAAATGGGGAGCTGGGGTTGAGATCCAGGTAGCCTGGTGCCACATCTGGGATCTTGTCAGCAGTGCTTCTCTGTAGTCCCTGTGTGCACAAACAGTTCAGTATGGCTCTGGCTCGACACCAGTGGAGGAGTCTTCCTGAGAGAAACTGCTAGACTTGGTTCCTTGGCTAAGAGTTGGAGCAATTTTACCTTCACAGAGTATCCACAGAGGTTCCTGGTGGGAGGGGGGGTGTCCAATGAGTAATCAGAACTAGGATATATCTGTGGAAATATATCTATTTCCAGCTGCCTGTGTTCTGACCCCCGGTAAGTCAGATGGAGGCTCTGTCTACAGGAATGGGTGGGCAGCAGGTGCAGCTATGCTTTTTCTTCTGCGCTCACTCTTGCACTATTGAGGAAGGGGATCTGGGGAATGAGAGGAGGAATAAAAGAGGGTAAGCATGGTTACATACATTATAATTATGAAAGTACGAAAATGTCATAATCAAGCCAGTTATTAAGTACAATTAATATGTGCTTTTAAAAAAGAAAGAACCATGGCAATGGGAGCTGTTTCCTTCCCAACTTGAAGCCTTTCCCTCTTTTTATTCAGGAGCTTTTCACCATGACTCTTGTTCTGCTGGGTCTAGCCATCCTGTTGCTCCACCGTGTGGCCTGTGAGAAACCCCTAGAAGAAACCATTCCTCCCTTGGCTTGGCGCTTCACACATTCCCTGTATAATGCCACCATCTACGAAAACTCGGCTCCCAAGACCTACGTGGAAAGTCCAGTGAAGATGGGCATGTACCTGGCGGATCCCCAGTGGGTGGTGAAGTACCGGATCATCTCTGGAGATGCAGCCGGAGTGTTTAAGACTGAGGAGTACATGGTGGGCAACTTCTGCTTTCTTAGGATAAGAACCAAGAGCAGCAACACGGCGCTGCTCAACAGGGAGGTACGAGACAGCTACACGCTCATAGTGCAAGCGTCAGACAAGAGCCTGGAGTTTGAAGCACTGACCCAAGTGGTCATCCACATCCTGGACCAGAATGACCTGAAGCCCCTCTTCTCCCCACCTTCCTACAGAGTCACCATCTCTGAGGACAAGCCCCTCAAGAGCCCCATCTGCAAAGTGACTGCCACGGATGCCGATCTGGGCCAGAACTCTGAGTTCTATTATGCCTTTAATGCCAGGTCAGAGGTGTTTGCCATCCATCCCACCAGTGGGGTGGTCACTGTGGCTGGGAAGCTGAATGTCACATGGCGAGGGAAGTATGAGCTCCAGGTGCTGGCTGTGGACCGCATGAGAAAAATCTCAGAGGGCAATGGGTTTGGCAACTTGGCTCCATTGGTAATTTACGTGGAGCCTGTGCACAGGAAGCCCCCAGCTATCACCTCCGTGGTCATGGCTCCATCAGATGGTGATGAAGGTGACATTTATGCCACTGTCACGGTGGAAACAAATGACTCTGGAGCTGAAGTAGATTCCCTGGAGGTGGTTGGTGGTGATCCTGGAAAGTACTTCAAAGCCTTCCAGTCCTATGCCCAAGTCAACAAGTTCAACTTGGTGGCAGTCAGGGCTATTAACTGGGAAGAACACCCGCATGGCTTCAACCTCAGCTTCCAGGTCCACAGTAGGAACAGACCTCCTGCCCACTCCCCCATCAGGGCTTTCCACTTCCCACCCTCCAAGCTGAACAACCTCAGATTTGAGAAGACGGTTTACAGAGTAAAGCTCAGTGAATTCTCCCCTCCTGGAAGTCGCGTGGCATTGGTGAAGGTCACCACTGCCCTCCCCACTTTGCGTTATGTTCTAAAGCCATCCTCTGGGAACACGGTATTCAAGCTCAATGCTCGCACAGGCCTGATCACCACCATGAAGCATGTGAACTTCAATGACCAAAACCAGTACCAGCTCCACGTGAAAACCTCCCTGGGCCTGGCTACCACCACAGTGATCATTGACGTTGTGGACTGTAACAACCACGCCCCAGTCTTCAACAGGTCTTCCTACGAAGGCACCTTCGATGAGAACATCCCTCCTGGTACCAGTGTTTTGACCGTGACAGCCACAGACCAGGACCACGGGGACAACGGACATGTCACCTATTCCATTGTTGGCCCTAAAACTGTCCCATTTTCTATTGACCCTTACCTGGGGGTCATCTCCACCACCAAACCCATGGACTATGAACTCATGAAAAGAATATATACCTTCCGGGTCCGGGCATCAGACTGGGGGTCTCCTTTTCGCCAGGAGAAGGAGGTGTCTGTTTCTCTGAGGCTCAAGAATTTGAATGACAACGAGCCTATGTTTGAGGAAGTCAACTGTACTGTGTCCCTTCGTCAAGATGCACCAGTCGGGAAATCGATAATGGCTGTGTCCGCCATAGACATGGATGAACTTCAGAACCTAAGGTATGAAGTTGTGTCTGGCAATGAACAAGACTATTTCTATCTTAACCATTTCTCAGGGGTGATATCTCTCAAACGCTCTTTTATGAATCTCACTGCCGTTCGACCTACCAACTATTCTCTGAAAATTACAGCCTCTGACGGCAAGAACTATGCATCCCCCACAACTCTGAAAGTCACTGTGGTGAAGGACCCTCACTCTGAGGTCCCTGTACGGTGTGATAAAACAGGAGTGCTGACCCATATCACAAAAACCATCCTCCAGTCCGCCGGGCTCCAGGGCCAAGAGTTGGGTGAAGAGGAATCCACCTCCCTCAGCAACTATCAGATCAACCACCATGCTCCCCAGTTTGAGGACCACTTACCCCAGTCCATCGACATTCTAGAGCAGGTGCCCGTTAACACCCCCTTGGCCCGCCTGGCAGCCACTGACCCAGATGCTGGCTTTCACGGCAGTCTGGTCTATGTGATTGCAGATGGCAATGAGGAAGGTTGTTTTGACATTGAGCTGAAGACGGGGCTGCTCACGGTGGCAGCAGTCTTGGACTATGAGACCACCAGCTTCTACGTCCTCAATGTGACTGTGTACGACCTGGGCACTCCCCAGAAGTCCTCCTGGAAACTGTTGACTGTGACCGTGAAAGACTGGAATGATAACCCACCCAGGTTTCCTCCGGGTGGGTACCAGCTCACTATTTCTGAGGATACAGACGTTGGAACCACAATCGCAGAGCTGAAGACAAAAGACGCTGACTCAGAGGATAATAGGAGGGTTCGCTACACTCTGCTAACCCCCACCGAGAAGTTCTCTCTCCACCCACTCACTGGGGAGCTGGTTGTCACAGGACACCTCGACCGGGAATCAGAGGCTCGGTACATACTCAAGGTAGAAGCCAGAGACCAGCCCATGAATGGCCACCAGCTCTTCTCTGTCACCGACTTGATAATCACATTGGAGGATACCAATGACAACCCTCCGCAGTGTATCACACAGCACAGTAGACTGAAGGTGCCAGAGGACATGCCCCTTGGGACAGTCTTGACATTTCTAGATGCATCTGACCCTGACCTGGGCCCTGCAGGTGAAGTGAGATATACCCTGGTGGATGACGTCCATGGAACCTTCCGGGTGGAGCTGATGACCGGAGCTCTGAGTCTGGAAAGAGAGCTGGACTTTGAGAAGCGGGCTGGTTACAATCTGAGCCTTTGGGCCAGTGACAGTGGGAAGCCTCTAGCCCGCAGGACCCTCTGCCATGTAGAAGTATTAGTCCTGGATGTAAATGAGAACCTCCACTCTCCTCGCTTCTCATCCTTTGTATATCAGGGCCAGGTGCAGGAGAACAGCCCTGCAGGGACCGCGGTCATGGTAGTCACGGCCCAGGACAATGACAGTGGCTTGGATGGAGAGCTCCAGTACTTCCTACGGGCTGGCACTGGCCTGGAAGCCTTCAGCATCAACCAAGACACAGGTACTGGGGTGAGGTACACGGGGTGCTGGGGCATGGAGAACAGTGGGCTGAAAGGGGACACGGGGACAACACGGGGGAATTCACCCTCCTGACCCTTGTATTTTAGGTTTGTCTTTACGAAGATTTTTACTGCAGGCTTTTTTTAAATATAGGCTCACACATATATACACATGTATGTGTAAAATACATATTATATGCATATAATAAACATACATATCCCATTTATGAAAGTGATACATGATAATTATGTATCTCTTTTTTAATTTTTGAGACTATAGTTCCCCCTTCCATTTCTTCCCTTCAAATTCTTCCATATACCCTTCCTTGCTCTTTTTCAAACTCATGACCTCCTTATTTATTTATTTATTTGTTTGTTTGTTTGTTTGTTTGTTTGAGGCAGGATTTCTCTGTGCAACAGCATTAAATGTCCTGGAACTCACTCTGTAGACCAGGCTGGCCTTGAACTCACAGAGATTGGCATGCCTCTTCTCCCTCGAGTGCTAGGGTTAAAGGTGTGTGCCACCATTGCCCGGTGACCTCTTTTTTTTTTCCCTTTTACTAATTGTTATATGCATATATACATATATATTCCTAAATATAACATATTCAGTTCATGTAATGCTGTCTGTATGTATGTGTGTAAGTTTTCAGGGTTGACCATTTGGCATTGGACAAAGAATTGGTCTGCTCTTCCCTGGGAAAGGCCGCTTCTCCCATTCCCAGCCTTCCTTAGTTACCTATAGTTTTGTGTGTAGAGACCTTGTGGCCTTCTCTCCATCCATTTTGGCATCTATGTTCCTTGGTGTCCTTGTTCAATTCTCATTTGGGTGGTCACGTTAGTGAGACTCTAGATGTAGCTTCTCACGTTAGCAGGAAACTCAATCTCACAGCAAACTCATGACCTTCTGACTGCTACACCCTTTCCACACAATCTCCTACAAAGTTCCTTGAGCCTTAGGTGCAGGAGTGTTTTGTAGATGCATCCAGTGGGATTGGGCTCCACAACTCTGCGTTTTGATGGGTTGTGGTTTTCTGTAATGGTCTTCATCTGTTGCAAAGAGACGCTTCCTTGAAGAGGGAAGAAGGCTCTACATATCTGTGGATAAAAGGACAAATGCGTAGATTGTGGCGAGGGATTATGTTGGATTAGTAAATTAGTGGTTGTAGATTCTCCTCCAAGATCCTTGACTTCACCAGCAGTGAATAGTCAGCTAGGTTTCCAGCACCAGGCATGCTCTCCCTCTTGCCGAGCAGGCCTTAAGCCCAATTAGAAAGCTGTTGGCTACCACCAAAGTATGCTTGCCACTGCTAAGGTTATTGTGCCATAATGCTTGCTGACGTGGTCATAGGCACCATTGCTGGTTGGGACTCTTGGTTGCCTCTCTCCTTTGGAAGCTTGCATGGTGCCTTCTGGTACTACGAAAGCTGGGGAGGGGGCTTTCAGGTCAGTTCCAGCTCAGGGGCCGGCCTCTGGGGCCCTGTTTCGGAAGTGCATAGTGTTTTCAGCAATTGGGACTCACCTTCCACCTCTGGGAAGTAACCAATGGCAACAGCAATAGAATGTATGTTTTGAGATTCTCCTGGACAGCCCTGGCCAACAACTTGAACAAGGGCTTCTCGGGTCTGCTGTTAGGGTTTTTGTTTAGGTGGTCTTTGGCTCTTAGAGGGAGCACCATCAGCCCAGATAACAAAGGCTCATTAAGTCTCTACATGGATATTTATACACAGAATTATGTATATTAGGTGCTTGGGTATTTTGTTTGTTTGATTTTTGGTAAATAGTTAAGAGCGCGATTCCTTGTGGCTTTTTCAGATATCCTTATTAGTTATTTTGCCTACTTCCCTTTCTGAATTAATCTCCCCCACGCACTAAAAACCCCCCTTTTCCATTTCCTCAGATCACTTGTACCCTGCTATACTTCTTTGCCCCCTCCCTCCTTCTTCTATATTTAGACCCTCCCCCCAAAGAAGCCTTCCTTTCCCACTTCCTGGATCAGATCATGTGTACACTGCTGCTCTCCGCGACACTACACCCCAAGCCCCATATCCTGGCAATGCTTTCCTGTGTTCTGTGGTTACTACAGCCTATGTAGTCACACATGAAGGTTTGGAGCTAGTAGCCTCCAATAAGAGGCAATGTGCAACAGTTGTCTCTCTGGGTCTGTGTTACATCATTCAGTATGATGTTTTCTAGTTCACTCCATTTACTTACAAAGTTCATGCTTTCATTTTTCTTTAAAGCTGAATAGTTTCCCGTAGTGTGAGTGCACCACATTTTCACTAACCATTCATCAGTGGTGGGACATTTAGGTTGTTCCTGCTTCTTAGCTGTTGTGACTAGAGCAATAAGTGGGGCTGAGTAAGTATCTGTGGGATAGGATGTGGCGCCCTTTGGGAATATGCCAGGAGTCACATATCTGAGTCACAGAGTAGATTTATTAAAGCTTTTTGAGAATTCTCCACCCTGATTTCCATAGTGGCTGCACCAGTTTGCAATCCCACCAACAGTGAATGAGGGCTCCCTTTCCCCAGTCACCTCCAACATTTGTTGTCAGTTGTTCCGTTGATCTTTGCCATTCTGGCTGGTGTTTTGAATTGCATTTCCCTAATTAGTCTCCTCCTCCTCCTCCTCCTCCTCCTCCTCCTCCTCCTCCTCCTCCTCCTCCTTCCTCCCTACTGAGATCCCAGTCCTATTTTTTGAATGGGTCATTTGGGGTTTTTACCTTTTTTTAAATTATATATATATATATATATATATATATGTATATATATATATATATTCTGGATATTAATCCTCTGTCAGATGTAGAGCTAGCAAAGATTCTCTCCCATTCTGTGGGCTTCCTCTTCGCCCAGTTGATTGTTTCTTTATCTGTGCAAAGCTTCATAGTTTTTTGAAGTCCCACTTGTCAGTTGTTGGCCTTAATTGTTGGGAAATGGAGTCTTACTCAGGAAGTCCTTCCCTACACCTGTGTCCTGTAGGCCCTGCCTGTGTTTTCCTCTAGTAGTTTCAGTGTTTAGGCTTCAAAGTTAGGTCTTTGGAGTCAGTTTTTGTGCAAGGTAATAGATATGAGTATAATTTTGTTCTTCTGCATGTGGACCCCCCAAATTTCCCAGTATCACTAGTTGAAGATGATTTCTTTCTCTAGCATATGTTTTTGACATTTTTGTCAAATATTAAGTAGTTGAAGTTACATACATTCATGTTTGAGTCTTTGATGTTGTTTCTTTGGTCTACATGTCTGGTTTTGTGCCAATACCATATTATTTCACTACTCTGGTTCTGTAATATCTCTTAAAGTCTTGAATTATAGTTTGTTTCCTGGGCGAAGGACAGGGTAGTGTGGTGGCAAGAGTATTCCATTTAACAGACTTTAGACCCAGCTCTCTCAATCTCTCTTTCCTTCTCCTCTTTTCACCCTTCTTCTTCTCTCTCCAGGGTTTTTCTGTGTAGCCTTGGCTGGCCTGGAACTCTCTATGTAGATCAGGCTGGCCTCAATCTCACAAAGATTTATCTGTCTGTTTCCCAAGTGCTGAGATACTAAAGGTCAATATCATGCTCAGCCCCAGCTCTTCTTCTTACTCGCTATATAATCTGGACCAAATTTATTCTCCCTATCTGGGCCTCAGTTTCCCCATTTGTTACCTCTGGCAGGCTCTGCTTTGATTGTGAGTCTAGACCCTGCCCCTTGTGCAGACCTTGTCAGCTGAAAGTGACCAGCGAGAACTTAAGGTACAGGCTTCTTGTGCCCACTGTTAGAACCTCACGTTCTAGAGCAGAGCTGGCCCTTTTAGGTAGTTTGTAGAGTACATGAACTAAAGAATGGAGCTAGACCCCTAAAGCCATGAAGTGATGAAGTAGAGAGCAGAAACATATTCCTCAAACCTCTAACCTTCAGTGTGAGGATCCACCAGGACTGAAGGACTGTCGGGATCAGGTTAAGGCCAATGGTAGGACATCCCACTTACAGAATGTGAGGAGGCTAGCTGGAACTTGGGTTGAAGCAGTTGGACAGAGCTGGTAAACTTCCACTGTCTTCTGGAAGCCTTGTATATATGTCTGCATGCCAGAAGCAAGGGTCGTTTGAGCAGAGACAGACTAAGAGGTTCTACTCTATGGGACATCAGTTTTCCCTGTGTCCAACTCGGCATCCCCCACCTCATGCCGACAGCCTACCGGCTTTCTCTGGGTTGTCAGTCAGCAACCTTTCCACAGTACTGATCAGCGGATGTTGGGTAGGGTGATTTTTGTTCTTGTTCAATTTGTGTGTGTGTGTGTGTGTGCACGCGCACACGCATGCGTGTATATCTGTGTGTATGTGTATCTGAACACATATTTATGTGTGTGTATTCCTTGTATATACATGTGTGAATGTGCCCATACATGTGGGCGGGCACATTGAGGCCAGAGGCTGATGATAGGTTTCATCCTCTGTTGATCTCCACTTAATTGTTGGAGACAGTCTGTTATGGAACCCCAAGGCTCACTGATTCAGCTAGCTTGGCAGACAACAAGCCCCACAGACTCCTCTGCCTCCACCACCCCTCTTCCCCAGTGCTGAGGTGATGAGCACCCACCACTGTACCCAGCTCTTATGTGGGTGTTGGGGATCTGAATTCAGGTTCATACTCATATAGCAGGTAGTTCATGGAGCCCTCTCCCCAGCCCTGGGTAGAGTGGTTTCTAAACCTCTCTGAGATCTGAGTAAACTGGGTTTCATCACTTGCTGTCTCCAGGAATGCTCGAGACTCTGGCACCACTGGACCGAGAATTCACACCCTTCTACTGGTTGACGGTACTGGCTGTGGACAGGGGCTCGATTCCCCTCTCTGCCGTCACTGAAGTCTACATTGAGGTTACGGACATCAACGACAACATACCCTGCATGTCGCAGCCCGTGTTCTACCCCTCTGTCCAAGAAGATGCCCCCTTGGGTACCTCCGTGCTTCAGCTGGAGGCCTGGGACCCAGACTCCAGCTCTCAAGGGAAGCTAACCTTCAACCTTACCAGTGGGAACCACATGGGCTACTTTGTCATTCATCCTTCCACAGGTGAGGCCTGGAGAGCAGGAGGGACGGGGGTATACATCTACAAGAAGGTTCTCGGAGTGTTCCTGGGGCAGCACCAACATTACCTGCAGACAGCTTGGAAATTCCAATTCTCAGGCCCCCATCTAGACCTGTCCAGTGCACGATCTGAGGCAGACTCCAGAAATGTATGTTTTAGCAATGCAAGCCCAGCATTCTTAAGGGTGCCGAAGTTGATTTGCTTTTCAACCATGCCCATCTCCACAAGAAAGTGAGAACTGGTTGAAATCTTCCTTGCCTTGGGGTTCAACAGGGGACCCAGAGGTCAAGCTGAGATTAGTTCAGACCTTCAAATATTCTCCAACTGACCCTTCCCCCAAGCCACCGCCACGGCCAGAGCCATCATTAGCTTTTGGTCTACTTCTTTCTGTTGCTGTGGTAAAAACACTTTGATCAGAAGCAACTTAGGGGAGGAAAGGGTTTAACCCATAAAGATATCTTATTGGTTTATACTTCCAGGTCATAGTTCATCACTGAGGGAAGTCAGACTAGGAACTGAAGGCAGGAGTCATGGAGGAATGCCACCTACTGGCTCTCTGACTTGCTCACAGGCTTCTGTTTAGCTGGCTTTCTTATGCAGTCCAGGATTGCCTGTCTAGGGAGTGGTGCCCCCTGCAGTGAGCCGACCCTTCTACATCCAGTAACTGTCAAGCCAACCCTCCACACACACACACACAGGCCAATATGATTTGGCAATTCCTCAACTGAGACTTTTCTTGCAAACGACTCTAGGCTGTGTCAAGTCAATGTTAGTCAGCTAACTAGAACAGCTCCTACTGCAGACTAGTCTCAGATCCGTCCACAAAACAGTGACAATTGTGATTTCACCCACATCCCATCAGCCTCCTCACAGGCCAAAGATAGTAGAAGGTTCAGGGGAATCCAGGGGTCACCCCATCGCAGCAATGACCCAGGGAGAGCTTTCCAAAGATAGTTGGTTTGATTCACACTAACTTTAAGCACAAATTTGCTAAGTTGTAGTTCACATTGGCAAATTCCATAGAACATTCCAGATCTCTGGATGGTCTTCAAAGACAGCATGCTCTGACCACGGTCTCTTCACATTCCCACAGGGCCACCGTGTACCATTGACTGACAGACCAGCACACATACAATCTTTGGTCCCCACAGTCCCTTTCCTGACTCCTGATCCCTCCAGTTAGGACACCTGCCACTCTTGTTCCACAGAAGTCTGACATTTCCATGTGACCCCTTCATTCTGGCCCCACAATGTGCTTTTGCCCCATAAGGACAGACAGTAGAGGGGAAAGGGGAATAGCTTATCAATTTTTCCAGGAGCGCTGAGGCATACAGTCTTGGCAGGGAATGCCAAGAGTCTGGGGTTAACCTTTGACATCAGGTTGTAGCTACATCCTCTTCTTTCTGAGGTGAGGAGGCTTTTCTTTGAGAAAACTAGTCTAAGCAAGTTCACCCCTCAGGCTCACCCCTGTCACCAATGTCCTACCCCCACACCTCTCCTCCCCACTCCTCACTTAAGGCATTAACTCCTCAGCTTTTCCCAACCCCCTTCTATTTACTGTCAATAGGCTTCTGGCAGCAGGCGAGGCAAGATGCCCTTGTAGGCAGAGGCACTCCCAGCTTCCCTGAAGCCAGGCAGAAGAAATCGTGACTAGTCTGAACTCTTACTTTTACCATGATAATTGTACCCGCCATCATCCCCCAACCCACTTCCTCACATTGACCACGCCATCTGCGGCTCCACTGCAGAAGCCTGAAAGGTCTCTCTATGTCCTTGAGATGAAGTCAGGGTCCCCTGTGTCCATGAAGCTGGTGCCTAAACCGGCCCCATTGACCTCTCTGGCTTCACCTTACCCCTCTCACGGTACCTCTGTTGGCTCCAGCTACCTGCCTGTCAACATAAAAACCACAGCTCTCATCTTAAAGGGAATAAGAGATGGTTTACTCCGGAGTTATTCTGAATGACCATGGCCAGAGAACGTGGATTTAGGCAACACCAATCAAATTCCACATTCCAACACAGATGCAGTTTCACAGGGTTTTTATAGTTCTACGGAACAAAGACAGCCATAAATCTAGGCAACTATATAAACTATATTGGTGGGTACACCAGAGAGGCACACAGAGAGAAGGGGAAGATTTTTTTTTATAGACCCAAGATGCTGTCTGACAGCATTCTTAGCTCTTGGATTGGTGGAAGCTAGTGTTCTGCTAAGTTAATAGCTTCTAAGAGGTTTCTATTTATTATCACAAGGTGTTATAGTTCAGATACAGAGTGAGACAAGAAAGCTAAAACCTGCCTGAGATAAAGTAATTCGCCTCTGAACCTACAAAGTTCCAATCTCCCCACAGGACTGAAATTCCAGTCAGCCCATCAGTTTCTGCAGACACTCCTTCCAGGAGATGTTTGCTGTTGTTCACACCCAGACACAGCTCCTTCAGGAGTTTTCATTCATAGCTGCTGTGGACTACAGAGGCTCTTCCCATGGGGTTTGGCACCTGCTACTGTCCCAGTCAGAACTCACTGCCCTCTCTCTCACTGTGCAGCCCTGGTTGACCTGGAACTTGCTAAGTAGACCAGGCTGGCCTGGAACTCACAGAGATCTGCCTGCCTCTGCCTCCCGAGTGCTGGGATTAAAAAGGCTTGGTTACATATCAGGCCTCTTCTCTCTTTTTGTTTGTGTGACCTCTAGTGTCCCACAGAGACCAGTCAACTGTATTTCCTAATATCATAACACACCTGCCGGCACCGCTAACGTACCACACAGTCCATTGTATCCATTCAAGTGATTGTTCCACTAACTCTCCATGTCCACTGGACTTCAAAGGGAAACTGACTGCTTTTGTCTGTCTTAGTGTCTTCAGTACCTGGCGCTACCATAGAGTACAGTAGACGCTCGACAAGTAACTTTTAAATGGATGAATGAGTTCTTGTTTGTGATCCATACCCTTACCCAGCAAACGCTTATAGACGTTGTCCCCTGCGAGGCCTTAAAGCCGTGTGCTGTAGAGAGATGTAAAGAGAAATCTGATCTTGTTCTAGGCCTTGGGGAAGTCGGCCCATCAGAACCATAGATATTTAGGGATAAATACTGTAGGAATAGCACAAAAGAGTAAAGTATATGCAGGTAGATAGGTGCTTTTGGTGCTCGGGGGAGGGAAAAAGCTGCTGGGTGTGGCCAAACTGTGGTGGCCTAATGAAGGAAGTGGGGATAAGCAGTAGTCTCAGAGGGCACAAGGACAGGGAGGGTGACCTGAGAACCTCCTGGTCATTGTGGATGGAGGTCACAATCTGGAGATAGCACGTTTCCACCCCCCATAACTGGTGAGGTCTTGGGAACGTTTCTGGACTACCTAGGGGGCAGATGGAGAGGGAAAAGGGTGATCCTAAGGTGGACTGATGGGGAAGCTTTGTTAATTTAACTAGAGTGTCAGCTTAGGCTGGGAGAGGCAGGGGACTTCCACCACACAGGCTCAGTGGATGCTTCAATCCCTACGCGGAGCTCAGCCATGTCTCACCTTCGTGAGTATTCTCTGGGAATCCAGACACGGCTGTCAGAGAGAAACTCAGGGGTAGACAAGAAGGCAGTGCCTCAGGAAGTTCCAGGGCAGCGGTTTCAGGAACACAGGACCTTTAAAGGTGAAGGAGGAGGTGGGGAGAGAAAGTTCAAGGCAGAGACAAAACAGGGCTGAGCATAGTGGTTCTATACCTCAAATCCCAGCACTCAGGAGACTGAAGCCAGTGTCTGACTGGGCAAGCTGGTGATACTGTGTGGATTGCTGAGTTTTGGACCCATCAGTGCCTCATAGTGAAAATAGACTTAGGTGGGAACTAGTTAGCACGTTCTCTATTCGTTCGTGTCTCCCACCTCCTCACCACGCCTTCCATTTCTCCAGAGCTCTAAAAGTCCCCCCCCAACAAACAAACAAAAAACAAAGCAACAAACCCAGGACTCTCATCTGAGAGTTACGTGTGATATTGAGCCCACCCCAGTAACGGCCCTTCATTCATATTGCTCTCCATCCATCCCTTTCCAGGTCTGCTCTCCACTGCCAGACAGCTGGACCGAGAGAGCAAAGACGAGCATGTCCTGGAGGTAAGTGGTGGGGAGTCTGGGCACTGCCTTTGGGAGCCCCAGAAGGAGGCTGGGCTGTAGGCTGGGGTGTAAGGCTGAGGTGGGACAGGACAACCTATTCCAGTACAGTCTTTCTGTGACTAGTGGTAAGAGTCCTTCGGCCTTCACTGGCTCTTTGGTACTGAGGAGGGAAGGAACCTGAAAACAGATCCAAGCATGGGAGGATGGCTGGGTTAACGTGTAGTTCCTGAAGGAAGTGTTGGAAGTGGGAATACGTGCTTGTCAGGTCTAGTTTCTAACCCATCCCTCCTGCCTTGGAGAGAAAACCACTTAATGGTCCTTTACTACAGTTGATGTGGGGCCAGGATAAACATTTTTTTGTCTTCTGGATCTGTGTTCTTTCTAGGGTGTCTGTAATATCGCCCAAGCACCCCTGATGCTCAGCCTCCTACAAGGAGTATTCTAGAGGGGAGTAAATTAGCAGAGGCTACAAATCTAGTTCTTTCCCCTCTGAGCAGCCCACGACTCATCCATGCGCATCTCTTCTGGCCTTAAGGGCTTCCAGAGGGCAGGATGCATATTTGCTTTCCTATAATACAGGCTCTGAAACTCTCTTTCCTTGTGGTCCTAGCTATTTAGGAGGAGACTCTCAAGTTCAAAGTCAGTTTTGGTTACAGGAATTCAGGGAAGTCTGTGCAACCTAGTGAGAGACCTGTCTCGAGAGAAACAATAGAGAAAAAATGAGGGCAGAGGTCACTGGGAGAGCATGTTCGTAGCATGCATGAGGTCCTGGGTTGACATCCTTGACTAACAACAACAAAAATCAAGAAAGAAAGACAAAGGAAAGGCGTCTGTCACTAAGAGCAAGTGGCCTTGAATTCCCAGTTCAGTTATCTTTAAAGTCTAGAACAGCTGGTTCTCAACCTGTGGGTCACAACCCCCTTGGGGCAGAATGACCTTTTCACAAGGGTCACCTAAGACCATTGGAAAACATAGATATTTACATTGAAATTTATAACAGTAGCAAACATTATAGTTGGGAAGTAGCAATGATAGTCATTTTATGGTTGGAGTAATCACAGCACGAGGAACTGTATTAAAGGGCGCAGCATGAGGGCAGCTGAGAGCCACTGCTCTGGAAGTACTTCTACAGTGCAGAGTGGGGAATCAAACCTAGGACCTCATACATGCTAGACGAGAGCTCTACCACTGAGCCACCTTCCGACCTCTGAGCTACTGTGAGTGGAAACGCCTTGTCTCGTACCATTTCCTCAGGACTATGGATGTCTCAGTGGGTTAGGTCCCTGTGATAGCAGAGCGTGATTCTGACGTTAGATTTTATTTCATGTACTGGGTGGCGTGTCTGACCCGGGTTTTACCCATTCCTGCAAAATGCCTTCTAATGCAAGCAGAGAACAAAGCTTGTGTCAATCACAAGCCAAATAAAATGATGATGATGATGATGATGATGATGATGGAAGAGGCCCAGGAGTCTTCTACGTGAATGCCAGGCTTTCACAGCAGATTCTAACAATGACTGCTTCTGGTTCTCTGTGGTTTCTTTTTGTTCTTGCTGCTCCAAGGTCAGATCATTGCAGTAGCAGCCATCAGCTCTAACTGCGGCTACTAGGACCGTGGCAGTCCTAGGCACTGCTTCCCAATGATGTCACAGGAGCTCACACACCTTTCTGTCTACAGGTGACTGTGCTGGATAACGGGGAGCCCCCTCTAAAGTCCACCTCCAGAGTGGTGGTGTGTATCTTGGATGTCAATGACAACCCGCCCGTGTTCTCCCACAAGCTCTTCAATGTCCGCCTTCCTGAGAGACTGAGCCCCTTGTCCTCGAAGCCTGTGTACAGGCTGGTGGCTTCAGATCCAGATGAAGGTCTCAACGGCGACATCACCTACAGCATTGAGGAGAGTGATGAGGAGGGCTTCAGAATTGACCCTGTCACGGGGGTTGTATCCTCCAGCAGCACTTTTGCGGCAGGAGAATACAATATCCTAACGGTGAGCGACTGAGGGTTTGCAGAGTCAGAGGGAGTGGCTGGTGATTTTCCTGTCTCCCTTCCCTTCCCTTCCCTTCCCTTCCCTTCCCTTCCCTTCCCTTCCCTTCCCTTCCCTTCCCTTCCCTTCCCTTCCCTTCCCCCTCCTCCTCCTCCTCCTCCTCCTCCTCCTCCTCCTCCTCCTCCTCCTTCTTCTTCTTCTTCTTCTTCTTCTTCTTCTTTTTTTTTGCCTGCTTTAGCTTATAAAGAGAAGGCGGGGCCAGACTCACTCCTGAGAGACACTCTCAGCCTACTCTGCTGGACCAGCATTAATACATTCCGAGGGTTGCGTCCCCAAAGATGGTCACTAAACTCCACTTTGAGTGTGTGTGCATGTGTGTGAGTGTGTGTGTGTGCACATGCATGCGTTCTTGGGAAGTTAGCACTGAGATAGGGCCCTCTTGGGTGAAGGGTAGCAGCTTCTGCAAGGAGACAGTGACCTTGATTCCTTCGCCTTATTCGGACAAGTTATTTAAGGCTTTTGAATCTCTATAAACTGAGCTTAAGATGCTAGTGTGTCAAAAGGCAGATCACAAGTTCTCACACCGCACTGCTAAACTGAACACAGCCATGTTGCTGGAGGGTCACATGGTTCAGGGTACGACTTCATCATATGGAGTTCCCATTTCTGCCTACAGAGGGGAGAAAAATTATACCAGGGCTACCGTGAGGGTTGAACGCTGCACCCAGAGCTCTTAGATCGAGGACTGATGACCGCAGAGCTCAGTGAGTCTGGCTCATCGTGCTTGTGTTTGTTGGCAGTGATATGAGGCCTATGAATATAAACTCCAGCTTAGGAATCAGTCTGCAGCAAGATATGGCGGTTGTCTTGGCTAGTCCTTCTCACCACTGTGATCAGATTCCTGACAGGAGCAGTTTAAGGGAGGAAAGATTGAGGATTTTGCCAGTGATTTCTTGCCACGCCCATTTGGGCAAACATGGTGGAAGGATTATTTGGCAAAGGAGAAATATTGACTTTCATGGCTAACCAGGGAGCTGAGAAAAGGAGATTCAGGTGGGGTCCAAGGCAAGATATGGTCCCCAAAGATGTGGCCCTAGTGACCTCCAACTCAGTCCACCCCTACCTCTCACCAGCTCCCATCATTCCAAGCTACATATCAAGAGTCCAACAAGAGACTGACCCACTGATTAGGTCAGCTCCCTTCCAGTCTAATCTTTTCTAGAAATGCTATCACAGATATGCCCAAGGGCACGCTTTACTATCTCCTAAGCATGGCTCAGTTGTATTAGTTACTCCTGTTGTTGTGGGGAGTGGGAGGACGATACACAGATAAAAAGACAAAAACAAAAAAAAAACTGACCAAAAACAAGAAGAAAAGGGTTTGTTTTAGCTTATTGTTCCAGAGAGATAAAGTCTATAAATGGCAGGGAAGGCAAGGAAGTAGAAGCAGAAAGCAGGAAGCAGAAAAATCACATGTCATCCACACACAGGAAGCAGAGAGAGCACAGGAAGTGGAGCAAACTGATAAACTCACCATAAAGCCCACCCCCCAGTAACATACTTTCTCCAGCAAGGCTGTACCTAATGACAGATGGAGGTAACCAACTTCCTAAACAAAGTTGTCTACTGGGGATCAAGTGTTCAAATATCTGAGCCAAAGGTAGACATTTCTCATTCAAACTGACACACCAATCAAGGTGACAACCAATATCAACTGCCCTTGTGCTTTTTGCTTCCCCCCCCCCCCCCCCCCCCCCCCCGCCGCCAACAAGAGATTCTAGAAGATAAGCTAGATTTTTTTCACCTAGTAACTAAAAGAACTCTTGCCTATCATTGACATTCAAGTGTGTGCCCCATGGGTGAATGAGTGAGTGAGTGGAAGGCCTCTTCCATGGTGACTCAGCTTGGCTTTTGGTGTCTCCTTAGATCAAGGCAACAGACAGTGGGCAGCCAGCCCTCTCCACCAGTGTCCGACTTCACATTGAATGGATTCCCCAGCCTCGGCCATCCTCCATCCCACTGTCCTTTGATGAGCCCCACTACAGCTTCACAGTCATGGAAACGGACCCTGTGAACCACATGGTGGGAGTCATCAGTGTAGAAGGGCGGCCTGGCCTCTTCTGGTTCCATATCTCAGGTAAGGACCAAAGAGGACAAATCCCTCTATTTTTATATTCCCCCCCTGGTGCAATATTCTCCCTCTCTCAAGGTCATGCTCCTTGACATCTCCTTTTGTTCTAAGTGGTGATCACCTCTTCTCTGGTTCTCTGGGACATTGTATAAAAGGGACAACATGTCTGTGGAACCTCTTTTGTTATAGCTAAGACCTCAGGTGGACCCAGGGATTCCCCCAAGGATCCATCTCCTGAATCTCCTGAGTTCCACACCCTCCCAAAAAGAGTGCCACTACCTGAAGACCAGGCATTCAAGTCCTGGGCCATGGGGCACACTACATGTTCAAGCCCTAACAATCCCAGAAACAGAAAAAATCCTACAGCAGCTTCTGATTTTCCTACAGGACTCTTAAGTCCCCACATCCCTGCTTTTTGCTAGAACACTTGACAAATTGGACCAATAATGTAGCGTTTTTGGGGGCCACCTAAGGAAATACGATCCAATCTGTCACCAGGTTGTTAACATTCCCAAATAGTCTTAGACTCTTGCTCAGCCTCTTCCTTGGATACCCACAGTCTTGACAGCCAAAGTCAGCTAAGATTGCATTTACCATGTGCTCTAGATCTGTGGTCAAACCCAAGCTAGGCTAGAGCTGCCTAAGTTACTGGTGTCGTATCTGCTCCTTCCCTCCTCCAGATGGGGATAAGGACATGGACTTTGACATTGAGAAGACCACGGGCAGCATTGCCATAGCCAGGCCTCTTGATACAAGGAGAAAGTCAAGCTATAACTTGACTGTGGAGGTGACGGATGGGTTCCACACAATTGCCACCCAGGTAAGAGGCCTTGGTCAAGAGCTCCTGTTTCGGAACGAAATGAGAGGGGAACTTGGAGTAAGGCTATTAAAGGCTTTTGATTGATGTGAGGCTCCTCAAAGAAGCTGGAATCTGAGTTCTGGGTACCAGTCTTACTTGATACACACTCCACTTCTGTGGTTGTGGGAGAATTTTTCCCCATCCTACATCTCTATATATTGATAGAATTTACACAAACAAGCAGTTTTAATTAAAGATAGTCTTCCATAAGGGCTCCAATGGGTATGAGAAATGACAGGTCATGGGGCTTTCAGCTTCTACTCTGACTGTCGTAACGCCACTTCATACGCTGGAATTTTACGTATTTTGCTTGAAGAAATGGCCCAATGAAATTGTTCTGTTTTGTTGTTGTTGTTGTTTGTTTTGAGACAGGGACCCTTCCTGTGGCTGTGGTAAGACATCATGACAAAAGCAGCTTAAGAAAGATGGGGTTGATTTGGCTCCCAGTTCCAGGTTACATCTCTTCAGTGCAGGGAACTCAGCAGCAGGAACTTTGAAGCAGCTGGCCAGATTCTATCCAAGTCAAGAGTAGAAAGCAATGAGTTAACACATGCATGCTAGAGTTTACTTGTTTTCTCTGCTGTTATATAGTTCAGGATCCCTTGCCTTGGGCATGGTGCCATATTGGGTTGGTCTTCCTACCTCAACTGATATAATTAGGATAATCCCTCACAGACATGTCTATGAGACAACTAGTCTAGACAATACCTCCTTGAAACGCCATTCCCAGGTCATTCTAGTTTGTGTCAAGTTCACAATTAACACTATCACAAGGACTTACTCTGTAGCCAGACTGGCCTGGAACTCACCATATAGCCCAAGATGGCATCAAACTCATGGTAATTCTGCTTCAGACTATCATCTACTGTATTTCTATGTGAGCACCAACTTGTCCAGTTTAAATATATTCATTTTTAAATTAGTGACAAAAAGATGGACATGGTGGTGTACACCTCTAGTCCCAACATTCAGGAAGCAGAAGAAGGAGGATTTCTGAGTTTGAGGCTAGCCTGATCTACAGAGCAAATTACAGGATAGCTAGGGCTACACCAAGAAACCTTGTCTCAAAAAAGAAAGAAAGAAAGAAAGGAAGGAAGGAAGGAAGGAAAAGAAAGGAAGAAAGGAAAAGAAAAAGGAGAAAAGAAAAAGAAAAAAAATCTACTAGGCACCAGGTATAGAGGTGCACACCTTTAATCCCAGTACTCAGGAGGCAGAGGCAGTTAGATTTCTGTGAATTAGAGGCCAGCCTAGTCTATAAAGTGTGTTCTAGGACAGCTAAAACTATTATACAGAGAAACCCTGTCCTAAAAAAAAAAAAAAAAAAAAACAGCAAAATCTACTAGGCAGTTTGGTATCTGAAAGCTTGTTATTTTGAAATTCTACCATACCTTCAATAGCTATTTACTAAGTAGAATGGCAGCTGCTTGCCAGACACTGCCAACAAAGATGGGAGGGACAGTGAAGTCCCAGCAGGCACCATCCCTGTGTCCATGCAGACCAATCGGTCTCTTTGTGTCTTGTCCCCCTGCCCAGGTCCACATCTTCATGATTGCCAACATCAACCGCCATCGGCCTCAGTTTCTGCGGGATCACTATGAAGTCACGGTCCCCCAGGACACACTGCCTGGGGTAGAACTCCTCCAGGTCCAGGCCTCGGATCAAGACAATGGCAAGGGCCTCATCTATACCATCCACAGCAGCCAGGACCCTGGAAGTGCCAGCCTCTTCCAGCTGGACCCAAGCAGTGGAGTGTTGGTGACAGTGGGGAGATTGGACCTGCTCTCCTGGCCTTCTCGGCACATTCTGATGGTCATGGTGAGTAAAATCAGAATGGATGAGAAGTGAAATCTTATCTGAGTTCTCCTCACTCTAATGAAATACTCTGACAAAATCAACTTAAGAAAGAAAGTTCCAGAAGGTCTAGTCCATCATGGAAGAGAAGACATGGCTGCAGGCAGGGAAGGCAGGCAACAGAAGCAGGAGGCTGGCTGGTCACATTGAGTCTGCCCTCAAGAAACAGAGGGTGGGCAGGAAGTGAGGCCAGGCTTAAAAGCCTCAAGATCCACCCCCATGACCCACTTCCTCCCACACACCTTCTCCACATAAAGCTTCCACCACCTTCCCAATCTCAGCAACAAGTATTCAGACACATGATTCTATGGGGTCATTTCACATTCAAACCCTACACAAGGAACTTGCATGCAGGTAGCTAGAGTGGATCGGTTATGTAGACATTCCTAACACAACCCTGGGATAGTGGTGTGGTATCTCACAGCTGGCCAGAGCACCTTCTCTGAGGGATGCCTGGAGTGAAGCAGAGAAGTGGACTAGCCAAGGAATCTCCCATCAGCCTCAGCTTTCTCTGGACTCACCCCAAATATCTACAACAGATCTTTGCCCACTCTGTGATTTTATTATGGCTGACCTGTAGATTCATGTATTATCAGATCTGGGAGAGACCCAGAGATGCTCCAGCCCAAGGCAAAAAGAAGAATCAAGCAAGCAAGCAAGCCTGTAGGCTATAACATTTAAGGAGGACTCATTGTCTGGGTCACATGCTGATCTTTCTGTGACTCTGAGAGTCAGAGCCTCCTTGAATTTTGCACACTACATTCTCCACTTACCCCAGCTCATACCTCTTACCCATACCTGCAGCCCACAGGGGAAGAAAGATTTGCTAACTACCACACAGTTATTTTTGAGAAAGCCGGAGTGAGGGTTTCACCTCCTGTCTCAGGGTCAGGATTCTTACAAGCCAGGTTATCATCCTCTGGGGATATTAGTGTACACTGAAGGATTCGAGAATTCCTGCCACCAAGAAAGCCCTATGACTTCCCTGAGTTCAGTGCCTCCCAAATCTACATGACCACAGAACTCATTAACGTGTTACCATCTTAAAGAGCTCATAGTCTGAGACCTGCTGTGTCTCTGCCTCCTATGCCTTTCTCCTAAAGTGGAAGTATCCATAGAAACAGCTAAGCCCAGTGAGAAATAACTGAGACGTCTCTAACAGCATAGACTGGAGAAAGACTTCAAGGAATCCACAGAAGTTAGGTAGCCTGTTCATTGGCCTGTCTCTTTGGCCTGACTCTGACCTTACCTCCTCTGATTCTGTTTGCTGCTCATTCTGCTAAACCCTGTTTTAGGTCCGAGACCAAGAGATGCCCATCAAGAGGAACTTTGTGTGGGTGACCATTCACGTGGAGGATGGAAACCTCCACTCACCTCACTTCACTCAGCTCCATTATGAGGCAAATGTTCCTGACACCACCGCCCCTGGCACGGAGCTGCTGCAGGTCCGAGCTGTGGATGCTGACCGGGGAGCCAACGCTGAAGTCCATTATTCCTTCCTTAAAGGTGAGGCCCTGGTTGTGAACTTAAGGAATGAGGCAAGGGTCTAGGATAAGGGTCAGCAGTAGAGACACAACTCTACAGATTATTCAAGTACAAGCTCTCTAAGCAGTGACAGATGACCATTCTAGAACATTCTATGTGTCAATGCTCTTCCAAAAAATGGTAATTAAAATAGCAAAGGTACTCTCAAGTTATGGGGAAATTTGTGAATAATATGATACAAGCCACTGGAGACCATATAAAATGTTTATAGAGCCTGTAAATATGTTAGAATATGACTTCGTGCACTTGTGTGAGAAGGGAAATGAAAGTATGTCACCAGGGTCATGGCATCGTTTTAGGAGTAACTTTTATTTTCTCCTCAGATCACTTATTGATTTGGCATCTGTTATATGATTTTCTTCCTCTAAAAACTGAGAATATCACCTTGTTATAAGACTGTTAGAATCCAAAGACAAATGTTTATGTGACATAAATTATAAAATGTGCAAATGCCAGGAGTTTCACGGTCATTGAGAAGTGTCAGTTATTTGTTAATGTGGGGCACACTATTTGGGGGAGGCTCCAAGTTTAGTGCTACCCACATTGATTGGGTTTCTCACCTGTAACTCCAGCGGGAGAGGGGATCTGATACCCTCTCTGCAGGCATTGCAATCACAAACACACACACACAAACACACGCACACACATTAAAAATAAATAAACCTTTAAAAAAATCCAAGTGATGTGACAAAAAGTGATAATATCCAGTATTCCACAAATTGCTAGTGATCATTTATAAGATACAGTGCATAATTAATGACATCTCAAGCATTATTTTTCATGATGATATTTCACAGAAGTAGACACTACTGAAGGAGAAATATAATCAAGACTTTATTCACTACCCTCTCCGAGCATAATGCTAGTTGAGTGGATCTTTAAAAATCAGCGACTTTTACTTGCCCTCTTTTGGGAGAAATAGACAGGAGAACATTATAGAAAAAGAATATAAATCATGAGACATTCATTGTTTATTTTCTGAAATAATTTCAGAAATGATTATGAAATAGAATCACATAGTTTATCTCAATTCATCTTATTGGTATCCCTCATAATGGAGATTTATTTTACAGATAAAGATTAGCTTTAAGGGGCTGGTGAGGTGACTCATTGGGTAAAGGTACTTGTCGCCAAACCGGATGACTTGAGTTCACTCCCTAGGACGTGCATGGTGGAAGGACATAGCTGATTGCCTCAAGTCGTCCTTTGACCCCCCCCCCCACATGATGGCCTTCAAGTGCCACACATATCCAATATGAATAAATGTAACAAAATGTTGAAATATTAGTTTTAAATATTCTTTGGATTATAGAAACCACTCATGCTCATTTTTGAAAACACTAGAGATATAAGAATGTATGAAAAAATAAGGTACAACGCTAAATGCCAACACCCAGAGATAATGGTCAATGTACTTCCCGTCCATCTTCCCGAGCATCTTTGGTAGTATTGAGATTATAATGAGTCTATAAGTTCATGCCCTGACTTCTTTATCCTGACAATATAATACGAGAAATAGCTAGAATTATATTTAGTTAACTTAGGTACTCCTTGTTTTGTTTCATTTTTGAGACAGGGTCACATATAGCCCTGGCTGCTCTGCAACTCACTATGTAGTCAAGGACTGAGTTCCTCATCCTCCTGCCTTCTGCTCAAGTGCTGGGATTACAGACATTCACCACCATGCCTGGCTAACTTAGCTACATTTGATGAGTGACCTAAGCCTGCTGTTGACTCATGCACCCCCTAGCCCCCCATCATCCTGTGAGAAGGGTCTGAAGAGTGCGAGAGTCAGCTGGGAGGTTTTATGATGAGGCTCAGCTGTTTGGCCATATAAAGCATACATAATAGAAAAAAAAGGGAACTGCCTCCCTGCCTCCACATGGGACCTGTGCTTCTGGTGGTGACAAATCCAGGACCCTATCACTCAGGTACTCCTACAGGAAGGAAGCACATACTTCTGGTTCCCACTCAGACTTCCTGATAAAATTCTGCTACAAGCCTCAGTAGGGTTTGAGAATCCCCAGCCCTTATCTATCACTTGGGTTTTTGTTGTTATTTAGTTTAGTTTTGTTTTGTTTAACCAAAGATAGAAGATTGATCTCAGGCCATATACTCTATAGTAAGGAATACCTTTTTATAGAGTTTAATATGTTTTTTTCGTTGAATTATGATAACCTTCAGAATTATAGCCAAAATGATTTTCTTGTTAAAAAGATCAGTACGAAATTGCCTTCTAAAAGCATGTTGAGTCTGGAGTGAACATATTTAAAGGGAAATATTCATGAAATACTATTATAGCATGGTTGGCCAAAGGCTAAATATTGAAAAGAAATTGTCAAGATGATGTGAGACCGGCCACGATTAGGCGATCTGGCTGTGGTGGAGGCGCTGATGCAGAAGCCCCGTGGTCTGGCTGTTGTGTATTTCCCCACTCTGCTCGTGACTTTACTCTTCAAGTGTGGTGAGAGGCTTTCTAATGTGAGGCCATAAAGGGAAGAGTGGCTTTAGTCTCTGTCTGTGTTGGCAGCCTGACTCCATGTGTGCAGATCCACCTTTTAAGGCTGCAAGCAGAGCTATTGAAAGCAATTCAAAGGATGCCTTTAAACGGTTTCCCATACAACTGAAGCTCTTCCTACAAGAGACATCAATGAACTTTAGGGTGAAGCACTAACAAAGCATAAGTCCCCTTCCTTGGCTCCAAAGACTTATTGATGACAGCTTCGGTTTGTCCTTCAAGTTGTATCCCAGAGACTTTCTAATCCTTGACACTTCTGTTTAGAAAGCAACTACGGTGGGGGCCTTCAGAACTGGGTAGTGTGCATTTACTCTATATATGATATACTAAATCCAGGGTGACTAGATGCAGATTTTGTCCTGTTCTGTTTGGTGCCACGGCCTCATGACTGACATTAGAAGCCTAGCTGGTGTCTCTTGAGAGTGTGGCAGACTTCAGTTTGTCCTATTCTCTGTTTCAGGGAACAGTGAAGGTTTCTTCAACATCGACGCCTTCCTAGGCACCATCACAGTAGCCCAGAGACTGGATCATGTCCACCACACAAGGTATACGTTAACTGTGAAGGCAGAAGATCAAGGCTCCCCCCAGAGGCATGACCTGGCTGTGGTGGTCATTCATGTCCACCCCTCCGACAACAGCGCTCCCGTCTTTTCAAAAGATGAGTATTTCATAGAGATCTCAGAATCAGTCCCTGTTGGTTCCCCGATCCTCCTCATCTCTGCCACAAGCTCCTCTGAAGTCACCTATGAGTTAAGAGAGGGGAACAAGGGTGGCGTGTTCGCCATGAACTCCTATTCCGGCCTCATCTCCACCAAGAAGCGCTTAGACCATGAGAAAATCTCATCCTACCAACTGAAGATCCGAGGCAGCAACACGGCTGGCGTGTTCACGGATGTGGTGGCTCTTGTCTACGTCATCGATGAGAACGACAACGCTCCTGCGTTTCTAAAGTCAACCTTTGTGGGCCACATCAGTGAGGTGGCTCCTCCACACAGTATGATCCTGGACGAAGACAACAGCCCCTTAGTGATCCGTGCCTCTGACAGTGACCAGGAAGCCAATTCCTTGTTGGTCTATAAAATCTTGGAGCCAGAAATTTTAAAGTTTTTCAAAGTTGACCCTAGTATGGGAACCCTAACGATCACATCAGAGCTGGATTACGAGAACACACCCTTGTTCCAATTCAACATCTATGTTCATGACCAAGGAACACCCATCTTATTTGCACCCAGACCTGCCAAGGTCATCATCCATGTCCGAGATGCGAATGACTCTCCCCCCAGGTTCTCAGAGCAGATATACGAAGTGGCGGTTGTGGGACCCGTCCACCCTGGCATGAAGCTTCTCACAGTGCAGGCCAAGGATGATGACTCCGAAGTCACCTACAGCATTAAAACTGGCGACATGGATGAAGCTGTTGCCATTCATCCCCTAACAGGCCAAATAACTGTGGTTAATCCTGCTGTTCTGGGGTTTTCTCGGAAGCTCACCATCAAGGCTTCTGATGGTCTGTATCAAGACACTGCACTGGTAAAAATATCGTTGACCCAAGTCCTTGACAAAAGCTTGCGGTTTGATCAGGATATCTACAGGGCAAGAGTGAAGGAGAATATACCACACAGAAAGGCACTGGTGATTCTTGGTGTCCATGGAAACCATTTGAATGACACCCTTTCCTACTTCCTCTTGAATGGCACAGACTTATTTCATGTGGTCAAGTCAGCAGGTGTGTTGCAAACCAGAGGAGTGACGTTTGATCGGGAGCAGCAAGATACTCATGAAGTGGTAGTGGAAGTGAGGGACAATCGGGTCCCTCAACGAGTGGCTCAGGCTCTAGTTAGGGTCTCTGTTGAGGATGCCAATGACAATGCCCCTGAGTTTCAGCATCTGCCCTATTACACAGTCATCCAAGATGGCACCGAACCCGGGGATGTCCTCTTTCAGGTATCTGCCACTGATAAGGATTTGGGAGCCAATGGGACAGTCACATATGGGTTTGCGGAAGATTATGCCTATTTCCGGATTGACCCCTATGTTGGGGACATATCACTTAAGAAGCCCTTTGATTATCAAGCTTTGAATAAGTATCACCTCAAAGTCATTGCTCGGGATGCAGGTACCCCACCCCTCCAAACTGAGGCAGAGGTGCATGTCACCGTCAGAAATAAATCCAACCCATTGTTTCAGAGTCCTTACTACAGAGTCAAAGTCCCTGAAAATATTACCCTCTACACCCCGATTCTCCACACACAGGCCCGGAGTCCGGAAGGACTGCGGCTCATCTACAACATCGTTGAGGAAGAGCCTTTGATGCTATTCACCACAGACTTTAAGACAGGTGTCCTTATGGTGACAGGACCTCTGGACTATGAATCTAAGAACAAACATGTGTTCACGGTAAGAGCCACAGACACGGCTCTGGGGTCCTTTTCTGAAGCCACAGTAGAAGTCTTAGTTGAGGACATCAATGACAACCCTCCTACTTTTCCCCAAATGGTATATACCACTTCGGTTTCTGAGGGCTTACCTGCTCAGACCCCCGTGATCCAACTGTTGGCTTCTGACCAAGACTCGGGACAGAACCAAGATGTCTCCTATGAGATTGTGGAGGATGGCTCAGATGTCTCTAAGTTCTTCCAGATCAATGGGAGCACGGGGGAGATGTTCACCATGCGAGAGCTGGACTATGAAGCCCAACAGCACTTTCACGTGAAAGTCAGGGCTATGGATAGAGGCGATCCCCCCCTCACCGGCGAAACCCTTGTGGTCGTCAATGTGTCTGACATCAATGACAACCCCCCAGAGTTCAGAGAACCTCAGTATGAAGCCAACGTCAGTGAGCTAGCCACCTGTGGCCATCTGGTTCTAAAAGTTCAAGCCCTTGACCCTGACGTGGGGGACACCTCCCGCCTGGAGTACCTGATTCTTTCTGGCAACCAGGACCGACATTTCTCCATCAATAGCTCATCAGGAATCATTTCTATGTTCAACCTTTGCAAAAAGCAGCTGGGCTCATCTTACAACTTGAGGGTAGGGGCTTCTGATGGGGTCTTCCGAGCAACTGTGCCTGTATATATCAACACCACAAATGCCAACAAGTATAGCCCCGAGTTCCAGCAACATGTCTATGAAGCCGAATTAGCTGAGAATGCAAGAGTGGGGACAAAGGTGATTGAGTTGCTAGCCATAGACAAAGACAGTGGTCCATACGGTACAGTGGATTACACCATCATCAATAAGCTAGCAGGGGAAAGGTTCTTCATAAATCCCCGTGGTCAGATCACCACTCTACAGAAACTGGACCGGGAAAATTCAACCGAAAGGGTGATTGCTATTAAGGTTATGGCAAGGGATGGAGGGGGGAAAGTGGCCTTCTGCACTGTGAAAATCATCCTCACTGATGAAAATGACAATGCCCCACAATTCAAAGCGTCTGGGTACACCGTGTCCATCCCATCCAATGTCAGCAGAGACTCCCCTGTCATCCAAGTACTGGCTTATGATGCAGATGAAGGTCGGAATGCAGATGTCACCTATTCAGTAGACTCGGCTGAGGACCTGGCTGACGAGATCATTGAAGTCAATCCCACCACTGGTGTGGTCAAGGTGAAGGAGAGCCTGGTGGGGCTGGAAAACAGGGCTGTTGACTTCAATATCAAAGCCCAGGATGGTGGCCCTCCGCACTGGGACTCTCTGGTACCAGTACGACTGCAAGTGGTTCCTAATGAAGTACCTTTGCCCAAGTTTTCTGAACCTCTGTATACTTTCTCTGCATCTGAAGATCTTCCAGAAGGTTCTGAAATTGGGTTTGTGAAAGCCGTAGCTGCTCAAGATCCAGTCATCTACAGTCTGGTTCAGGGTACCACTCCAGAGAGCAACAGGGATGGTGTCTTCTCCTTGGACCAAGACACGGGCGTCCTGAAGGTGAGGAAGGCCATGGACCACGAGTCTACTAAATGGTATCAGATTGACCTGATGGCGCATTGCCCTCATGAGGATACTGACTTGGTTTCATTGGTCTCTGTCAACATTCAAGTGGAAGATGTCAATGACAATAGGCCTGTATTCGAGGCTGATCCATATAAGGCTTTCCTCACTGAGAATATGCCAGGAGGGACCACAGTCATCCAGGTGACTGCCAATGACCAGGACACCGGGAGTGATGGACAGGTGAGCTACAGACTGTCAGTGGAGCCCGGGAGCAGCATCCATGAACTCTTTGCTGTTGACAGTGAGAGTGGCTGGATCACCACACTCCAGGAGCTCGACTGTGAGACTCAACAGACTTATCGTTTCTATGTGGTGGCCTTTGACCATGGACAGACCATCCAGCTGTCTTCTCAGGCCCTGGTCGAGGTATCCGTCACGGACGAGAACGACAACCCCCCTCGGTTTGCTTTTGAAGACTATAGAGGCTCTGTGGTGGAGAACAGCGAGCCTGGTGAGCTTGTGGCCACTCTGAAAACTTTGGATGCTGACATCTCGGAGCAGAACCGGCAGGTGACCTGCTACATCACAGGTAAGGATGCCTAGCATGGATTGGAGGCATTGGGGGGTACATTGAGAAAGCCTAGCAGGAGGCACTCTGAGATGAAGATGACACTTTTTAGTCACTTGTTCCCCTAGGCTCTCCATGGTCCCATTCAGAGACGTGGCAATGCCAGTTTTCACCCACTCTGCAGAGATACTGGGAAAACCCAACTGTGGGAAACTCCTAAAGTCACCCATGAATTAGAAAGTAGTTTGCAAAGAGGTTATCATTATTCCTTCAGGTGAGGAGATGGGATCAAAGGATCATACTATACCGACTTGTCTTAGTCACTATTCTCTTTCTGTGAAGAGACACCATGGCCAAGGTGACTCCTTATAAAAGAACACATTTAATTGGGGGCTGGATTGCAGTTTTAGAGGGTTAGTCATGATTACCATGGAAGGAAGCAGACAGGCATGGCGCTAAAGCAGAAACTGAGAGCTTTGCTTCCTGCAGGTATCCAGCAGCGGGAGACTGGGCCTGGTGTGGGCTATTGAAACCTCAAAGCCCACCCCCAGTAACCCAGCACTTCCAGCAAAGCCATGACTCCTAGTCCTCCCCAAACATTTCTGCTCCCTGACTAAGTGTCCAAGTCTGTGAGCCTAAGGGGCCATTCTCGTTCAAACTCCACATCACTGTTAGATGTCAAGGTCCCCAGTAATTGTGACTCATAAAAATTCTGGCAACTGCCTGCCTTTGTGGAATTGTGCCATGCCAAGGACAAGCATGAGAGAGGGCTCTTCACTAAGGGTGTTAGTAATATCCCTCACTGCTATGACAAAAATATGTGGTCAGAGCAACAGGAGTAAGGAAAGGCTTCTTTGGTTCGCAGCTTAGAAAGGGCTACAATCCACAGTGGCAGGAAGACATGAGAACAGGTGTGTGAGGCGGCTGGTCACACTGCATCCAGAGAGACGAATGCTGGGGCTCTGTTTTCACTCTTGTTTTTTCTTTTAACTCAATTTTTGCCCTCAGTTCACAGGCTGGTGCTGCCCACATTCAGGGTGGGTTTCTCCTCTCCAGTTAAACCCCTCTGGAAATGCTCTCACAGATACTCACAGAGGGTCATCCCTTGGGTGCCTCTAAACCCAGCCAAGATGAAAACAGAGACGAACCTTCACACAGAACGTCCTTTCCTTCTCCTTCTCAGCATCATCTCCCCCCTCCCCCGTTCGGTAAACATGGTTCATTCTGCCAACACAGCTGTCTAGGGGAGCATTGATGAGTCTGAAGTTCCAACCAAGAACCCCAGACTTCCTGAGACAGACAGAATCAGAACCACTTGATGGGGGGGGGGGGAGACCGCTACAATCTTTTGACATCAGACACTGACAAACATCAAGGTCTTAAAACCCCGGAGTAAGTGAATAACAACAGACAGTCGGCTCTTATAAAAGCAGAACCATGGGGAAATCTTAGACTCTGAGGGAGATTCCATCTTTCCACACCCGTGTTGGGAAATGATCCTACGCCCTCCATTTTGTGTGTGCCTTTAGCTGTGTGTTTAACCCTAGAGTTAGCATCATTGAAATCTTTGCCCAGTGGGCTGCAGCATCGCAGTAGAGCCTAGACAGTTCTTGTACAGATTGAAATTTGCCTCCCTCAAACTTCCCATAATGCTTTTCCGATCACAAGGAATAGAAGCCCTTTTCCCCCTACCAGCCACATTTGTACTGGTGCTTCCTGTAGAAACCATCTCACTTCACAGGACACCCTTAAAGTTAGGAGAAGCTTTATAACTTTGCAAAACAGACTCGGTGTAGAATTGTGGGTCCCTGATTCAGGGATGAAAATTCTGCCTTCCCCAGCAATTCTGAAAGAAGACTCAGGGGTGCAACCATCTAGGACACAGAGCCCAGTTCATCCCTGTTCTCAGTACCTGATATCTGCACCCCTTCTTTTTAGAGGGAGACCCCTTGGGTCAGTTTGGCATCAGTCAAGTTGGGGATGAATGGAGGATCTCCTCAAAGAAGACTCTGGACCGAGAGCACATAGCCAAGTATCTACTCAGAATCACAGCGTCAGATGGCAAGTTCCAGACTTCAGTCCCTGTAGAGGTCTTCGTCCTGGACATCAATGATAACAGCCCACAGTGCTCACAGGTGAGCCCTGGGAGTATTGTCAGGGGAGGTAGAGGCAAGGAAGGTTGGGGGAAGTTAAAAGAATAGAGACAAAGTCTTGCTGATGGTGCACTTCACAGCTTTAATCCCAGGATTCAGGAGGCAGAGGCAGATGGATCTGTGAGTTTGAGGCCAGATTGGTGCACAGAGTGAGTTCCAGGACAGACAGGGCTACACAGTGAAGTACTGTCTTGAAAACACACACACACATGCACACACACACACACACAGACACACACACACACGGAGAACAAGCCCTCATTGGCTATCCCTGTCCATGCCTGCCTTGGCATCTTCTGAGCAGACCTTAGGCTGGTGTCCATAGGCAGCAACCACTTTGGGCAACTCCTTGCTTCTAGCCATATCAATACAGCAAACTCTTCAGGAGTCGTGGTGCGAATCAATCTCTTTACATATCATACAAAGCTACTTTTGTGCACACAAACCCAGAGGTGGAGTGACAATACATCTTCCTGCCACCCAGCTTGACAACCTAAGTTTGATCCCCAGGACCCACATGGCGCAGGAAGAGAACCAACTCTCGAAACTTTCTTCTGACCTCTCTATATAAGCTATGGCACACACATGAATATACACATGTATGCACATACAAATCAATGCAATAAAACAGCCAGAGATTTTCCCTTTATGTCTATTTTTTAAAACAATAACTAGTTTTTAACTTTCAAGAGAATTTCCAAAACTAAAAATTTTAATTTTATAACATCTCAACTTCGAATGATTTGTGGCTAGTGAAAACTTAGCCAGTACACACATCAGTGCATACTTATACATACAGATACACATCTGCACAGCAGGTCAACTACAACCCCTCCACACACCGACAAATACCTGCACAAATGAACTCATGCCCACATAAGCACATACCTACCTAGCTGCCACATTTGCTCACCATATTTGCGAATGTGGACATATGTATTTCATGCAACTATACCCCATGCATATACTTGCATGCATGCACACTTCCACTTGCATGTGCCCGCAAACGCACATATAGCGCCGTGCAGCAGACATGGATGTGTATGCCCTGTCGCTGTTCCTTCTTTCCTCTCTTCTGTCACATAAAATATGGCAGAAGAGAGCCTGGAAGATTTGTAAGCCGGGATCTCATATGAGCGTATGTTGAGTGGTCTCAAAAAGACAGCTTCATTCTTGGGGAGAAAGGTGGCCATTGTTTTATCTTTCCTATTTGATCATGCTTAGGACCTCCCTCTTCTTCTGTGCTGGAAGAGGCGAGGGTCAGGCTCAGTCTAGCCTTACCCAGGTGGCCCATAATGTCATCAAAGCCAAGGGATGGAGAACTGAAAACTGGTCCCACACAGTCCAGGTGGGCACCATATGTCCGTTCAGAGAATGCCCAGAGCCCGTGCTCACCTGCATCCCGAGTGGTGCAAAGGAGGATGCCAAACAGACACCAAGTTCTCAGGGGCTCCAGTTGTTTCCCAGTTCCCAGCCACTGTGTGTCCTGCAGGGGATGGAGGGAAGGGCGAGGCAGTGGTAGGGCCACTGAGGTCCACCTTAAAGACCAGTGGTCTGTCCTGGGAATATGAGCAGGGAGGCAGCCTGGGATCACAACAGAGGCAGGGATGGAGGTTGGCAGAGCTTGACTTGAGACTCTGCATCATCGACTGCCAGACCTGCCTCAGCCATCCCTCCTCTCTGATGACCTATGACCCCTCCAAGTGGGCTGTGGTGGGTCCTTCCGGCCCTGGGCATTGACTTCGCAATGGTGGCTGCTTGTAGGCCATATTCTGACTTCTTATTAAGTTTTTGTTTTATTATTGTTTGTTTGGGGTGTATGTGTGTGTGTATATATAAGGGCCAGAGATCAACAATGTTGGGTGTCTTTCCTTGGTCGGTTTCCATCTTTATTTTTGGAGACAGGGTCTCTCAGTGAACCTGAAGTTCATTGATTCAACCAAACTACCCAGCTTAGGGCCAATGACCCTCAGGGATCTACCTACTTCTAACGCCCCTCCCCAGTGCTAAGACTGCAGGAGCTCTCCTTTCTACTTTTGATGTCGGTTCTATGGCTCCAACTCAGATCTTCTGCTTTGTGACAGGTACTTTACCCACTGAGCCATTGCCTCTGCTCTCTCTTCTAGCTTTAAAAATAACGACATTATTTAAAAGTAATGACATTATCATTGTGTTTGTGTGTCTGATGCGGGGGCAAGTAGGAGGATGCTCACGTGGAGGCCAGAAGGCAGCTTTGTGAGCCAGTTCTCTCCTTTCGCCTTCATATGGGCTCCAGGGACAAAGCTCAGGTTTTAGGATTGTACGGCAGTCCCATTGCCCACTGAGACACCTTTTCAGGCCTCTGGCTTTTAATCTCCATTTTCCTTGTATATCTCTTTAAAACAAACAAACAAATCAGGGAGTCATATAGCCCAGGCTGGCCTTAAATCCACTATGGAGCCAAAAATGATCTTGAACTCCTGACCCTACTGTCTCTGCTCCCTCAGTACTGGGATTACACAACGATCCCCTCTGCCTGGTGTCTCTATGTGACCCCACCTCACTTTCCCTCATTGCTCCCTTCTCTGCCTGCCCTATCTCTGTCCATTTTCACTTGAGTCACCTCCCTGCCCACCTCCTTCCCTCACTCCCCCACCTCTGGATCTAAGCGCCACTACCTCAGACGCCTCATGCTCAGCTTTCTGTCCTCAGCTTCTCTACACTGGCAGAGTCCGTGAAGACGTCACTCCTGGACACTTCATCTTGAAAGTTTCTGCCATAGATGCAGACATGGACACCAATGCTCAGATCACATACTCTCTGCATGGACCCGGGGCCCAGGAATTCAAGCTGGACCCTCACACAGGTAAGCCTCAGAGATACGGAATGAAGCCAAGACTCTGTGCCTGTGCCATGGTAGGCTCCAAAGCAGAAATTCACTCACCCACCTGCCCACTCACTAGCAGATACCAGCATCTGGGGACATAAGGAAAGGATGGATAAGTTCGCACTCAGCTCCTTATCATCCGGAGGAAAAGGTGATTGCTGTCCTGCTGCTATGGGAAACAGGTGGCTGGTGGCAGCCAGGCACAGGAACCAGCTGCCAATCCTCGGCTTCAATCCATAGCTCCTAAGATGACTCAGAGATTCCTGAGCAGGGAGGGGTAGGTGGTGGGAGGGTGGGAAGTGGCAGAGAGAGCCGTGTCCCAGGAAGCCAGTCTGGGTAGATCAGACACCACATTGTGTTTCCTGACCCCTGCCCAGCATGTTAAGTGATTCGGGAAGCTTGTCTTCTAAGGCCGCTGTTTGCTCAGCTGCAGCACTGCCCATGAGGACTTAAAAGAAAAAACCAACTGGGCTTTTTTTTCCAGGCTATGAAATTGATGCATGCTCAGTTACAGATTAAAAACCACCGCAGGTATCCCGCGGGATACTGCAGGAGTCAGAAAGCCCACACGATAAGGCCTCACCAAAGCCCACTCGGTGTGCAGCCAGCCAGCCGGTCTTCCCACGCACCTCCCCAATCTCTCTGCCACTGTTCCTCTGATGTTCTCCCCTTGGTGACAGCCTGCGGGGGTTTGCAAGGAAGACTATAAAGTTATCTTCAGTCATTCCTGGTCACATACTACATCTGTTTCATTTCTGTTGCTGTGACAAAACACCCCAACACAAGGAAACTTAGGGGAGGCAGGGTTTATTATTTCAGCTCGCAATCCCATATCAGTGTGTCATTGCGGGAGCTTCAAACAGCTAGTCACAGCACATCTCCAGTCAAGAGCAACGAGAACTGTATGCATGCATGATCAGCTGGCTTTCCCTACTCTCATACATGGTTCAGGAGCTTCTGCCTAGGGAATGGTGCCTCCCACAGTAGGCTCGGTCTTCCCATGTCAGTTAACTTAGGACAATCCCTCATAGACACGCCCATAGGTAAACCCTATGTGGACAGCCCCTCATTGAGATGCTCTTCTCAACCGTGATTTCAGGTTGTGTCAAACTGACAATTAAAACTAACCATCACATACTACTTTACTGTATGGCTAAACCATAACATATTAATCAATTTCTATTTGAAAAACACATACGGTGATTTAAATATGCCACTATTATAAATAATACCTCAGAGGACATCTTTACACATGTATTTGCTTTTTGTTTTTGTTTTTTTATTTTTTTGAGAGAGTGTCTTAGAAAAGTTACAACTATCCTGGAATTCACTGTTCAGACCATGCTGGCCTCTAACTCACAGAAATCTGCCTATCTCTAGGATTAAAAGCATGTGCACCACACACACATATACATCATATACTTTTAGCATTGGGTTAATTATTCTGTTTTATACACACACACACACACACACACACACACACACACACACACACATA